CTTTTTTTTCCCCTTTTCTTCCTCACCTCCTAATAAGCCACAGACAGTGCAAGAAAACTCCTCCTCCTTTCTTTGTGGTTGTCTATCACAGGCATAAGGGGGCTAGGAGAAGATTTAAGGAAGTGCTGCTCCTTCTTATTCACTCCCAGGATTTGGCCGCTGATACAGTGGTTTATTTAGCACACTCAACTTAATCTGGAGCTAAAGTAATGAATTCACCTCCATTTCATGTTCAGTGTTAGATGTTGAAATTTGCTAAAGTGGGTGAAAAATTATTATTTTTTCCTCTCCCTGTTTCACTGCATTCAACCAAACGGTTGGGAAGATGTCTGCAAGGAGGAACTGTATTATATTAGGTGGAATCACTGCTTTCTCATAGTCTTTCTCTGTCTGTGCAATAGCTGGACTCTGAATGTCCAAAGTGACATGCCACATTTAGGGCCTGATGCATGTAAAATTGCTGTTGGGGTTCAGGAGTCCAAGATTTGCTTTGGGGGGGATATGTGTTGAGGTGAGCAGAATACACTCAGAAATCATCTTGCAAAGTGCTGGGTGAAACTCAGTTGCAAGCAGACATATTGTTCATAGCTATTTGAAAGACCTTTTAAAGGATTGATCGTTTGTAATCAATCTTTCATTGTGAGTAAATTGAAATAAAATCATATTCAGATTCCCATCCAGGCAACAGCAGAAAATATGATAGTTTAGCACCTGGCACAATCAGTCCAAGTTCCCAAGCTGTTTTTTTTTTTTTTTTTTTTTCCATTTTTAGCTCTGTTGAAAATATGAGATTGCATAATGCATTGCAGTTTATATAACATCTTCACATGGCTTTACATTATAATTTCACATCAGTTTTACCTCAGAGTTTCTAACAGGTCAAGTAACCTTCTGATTTCATTTAAAGTTTCCATTATTCTCTCCTGAAAGGGAAAATCTAGCTCTTGTTTGGACAGCTTTGGTAACTCCAAAGGAAAAATTGGGCATTATGGTGAATACAAAAGATTCACTTTCCATGCATTAGGCTTTTCAATTGCTTTCTTAATGCAAAGTTGGACAGGAGAGTATAGGCAAGAAAAAAAAAAGATCATTTTGTGTCCATGGTCAGATGTCAATATTGACAAAAATAAATGGAATGTAACAATAGATTCTTGCAAAGATGAAGGTCATATGACCAAAATGTCTAACTAGACCTTGCACTATAGCTGTATCTTATTGCTGTTAGTGAAAAAAAAAAAAAAAAAAAAAAAAAAAAGTGTGTTTTTTTTTTTCTCCCATAGTTTAAAACATGCAAAAAAAGAGCACATCTAGAATTTTTAAATTAGCCCAATTTAGGCAATAATATTGAAGGCAAATCAGAAATGAAGTACTTAGAGAATTAAAATATAAAAGGGAAAAAAAAAAAAAAAAAAAAAGAACTGGGAAGGTCAAGAATGTCCATCCCATTGAGGTCTCAGCACATCATTCCCATCTGCATTTTTCAAAATTTCTTTCTTCAAAACTTCGATGATGCAAGCTGCTGCCTCTGCCCTGGGGGAATGGGCTGAGTTCCAGTTTGTATATTGGCTTAATTAGTGATAGTCTGAAGGGTCATTGTGTCTTAAACTGAGAGTTTTCTTCACTTCAGGTTTTCTTGACTAAGTCAAAGTATTTATGAAATCAGCCTTTGAGATTTTTTTTCTTTTTTTTCACATAGTTAACATCATTGTTTTAAACTCAAAACACAAAGATATTACTTAGATGCTGTTAGCATTCAAGCCTTTTCCCGTAGAGATATTTCCCAATTGTGGCAGCAAAATGTAGCCCTGCATAGTAGCTTCAATCTGGCTGAAATGTATGTCTGTGTAGATAACTTCTGACCACATCTGTAGTATCACTGAGAAGAGTGAACAAAGATTACATGTCAAGCAAATCCTGCTTTGGTTCACAGAGGTAATAGAAAACTTCATTCATATTTACAAATTATTTGGGCCCTTTGATTCAGACACTTAAGAATTTTGAAGTGCCATAATTTATTTAGTATACAAGTTCAGTTTCTCTCCTTAGTGCTGCAGCATCTCTTGTCATTACTGTTCCTACCTCTTTTTCTCTTACTATATAAAGGTCTATAATACAGGCATCACTTGTTTATCTGAATGCTTGGATATCTCTTGTGAGCCTAAAAAAAATAAATCCTTAGATCCCCATTGTTCCCTGTTCAGAAATATGGATAGATACACAATGTAAGGCAATTTTTAAAAAGGACTTTAATTTGTGGCTGATTTAAAGATTTGGTGAAAGCTATTTTCTTGTCATGAAATGTTTTTTAAAAGCAAATTATTCATTTTTTATTACCACTAAAGTCTGAAAAGTTCCTTGTGTCTTGTCTTGTATGTGGAAAACTTACCTCCTGAAGACAAAGCAATAGGAAAGGTTTCTTAACCATAGCATTGTCCTTCCAGAGCACTGAACAGCCCCACCAAGTTTGTTTCAATTACACTGCCATTTCCTAGCTGAATCCAAAATATTTCTTCAAAAGGCTCATCTGGTTGAGGGTCATGATCATAGGTGGAAGGTCAGTTAGTCATTTGCTGAGACATTCACTTCTCACTCTAATAATCTTTCATAAATCTTAAAGGAATGCAACAGTTTATGCCAGAAGTAGGGGAGGTGGATGGGAAGAGGGGGTAAAAACATTGATACGTTTATACAAAACACATTTCTTCAAATACAGTAAGTATCATTTTTTTCCTCTTTGTTGCTGTGAGAATGAGGCTGTTTCCTCACTTCCAGAAATGAAGCAGCAACATTGCTCCTAAGAACAAGAAGCTTCTGTCCAGCCCAGGCAGGCTCTGCCTGGAGGCTTAGATCAGCATGCATATATTTTCTGGTTATATGCACATACATGTTCATACAATTGTGCTGGTTTTATTGTCCTAGTACAGCTATCCTCATGAGATACAGAAGAAAAAAAAAAAAAAAAAAAAAAGATTCTGGGAAAGATCCACCTGAAAATTCAACAAAAAACACGTGTGCATCCTTAACCAATGTCCTTATAGGCAATGTCAGTCGGGCTACAAGGGGGTGCTCCAAGCTGCTACCTCCTCTCCAACCACCAACCGGACCTCAGATGCTATTTTAACAGAGCTGCTAATTAATCATTTTGGGTAGAAAAGGGTGCCTGGTTTCATCTCTGATGGGAATCTTCGATGGGAAATTTCCAAGTACTACCAATTTTAATGCAATACCAACAGGCTTTTCAGACAGCTTCATTTCTCTGTTTCTGAATTTGAATAGTAACACTACGGGAAATTCTTATTCAAAATGCGACCAGTCTGGCTTCTGGATTGCAGTAAGTGAGCCTGGTGCTTATCTGATCTTGGTGTAAATACTATGTGTCTGTCCTGGACGCCAACCAGGCTGTCACTGAATGACAAAGGAAAAGCATGCTAAATAGATGGTAAAATAACCTATTTATCAGATGCAAACAGCAGAGGAAAAAATTCCAATGTACTGCTTGTTGTCCTGGAAAATGTACAGAAACTGTCTCAATGTTTCAGCTTTCTCATGTAGGTAGATTTAATCATATTCATTTCGCTTTTTTTCCTCACATGCAATAGTTTGTAAAGTTTGTTAGATGAAAGCTGCTAGAAAAGATGTCAAATATTAGTACCGATATATCAGTATTGGCTTTGTTGCTGAAAAAAAAAAAACAAAAACAAAAAAAAACCAAACACAAACAAACAAAAAAACACAAGTGACTTCATAAATCTATAGCTTATCTATACTATAGATTTATCCACATAAAGCAGATTTTGGTTCCTCAAATAGAAAATATATGGGCTGATTTCCTCCTCATGATTATCAGCAGCATACAACAAAAGAGTTCTCCACAGTGTTTCTGAGCATGAGTTTGATGATGAGGTGTGAAATGTTTCAGTGATTTGTTTTGTGTTTGTTCCTTTCATTTCTAGATCACTCATGACAAATAGCAATGTATCAGCAGTACGAGACAATTTACCACTGCATGAGCTAAAAGGTGAAAAATGTTCCATACATTTTATATCCCTTTTGTAGTCACTATACTGCACTAAAGATGACCGTGGGTCACAGTGCTTGTACTCAGCATAGTTTATGTGTTAATAACTTATTCGGATGATCTCACCTTATTTATTTTAGGGCCCTTAGATAAGGATGACTGTTGCCTGGGCTTTCTTCCATAACAACCCCGTTCTTGACATGATTCAAAAGAAAACAACCTGGGCTGAAGGTTTTTTTTTTGCTTTTTTTTTTTCCCCTTCTCAACTAAATGGATTTTTACTTTGTTTGTACATGACAATTGAGGGGGGGATTTTATGCTTAGACTACTCATGTGACTAAGTCACACGCACACCAGCTACAAAAGGAGCTTTGCCATGTTATGTGTAAATCTCCATTAATTGAGAAAATAGGAAACTTTTACGTGACTGGTATGTTGTTCACAAAAATTAACTTATTATCTATCTCAAACCACAATACAATCAAGGTCAAAACAACTGGGAAAACAAAACTTTGTGGTCATGCTGTGGTACCTACATGAATAGCCAGCGTTAGTATTGTCAGTCTCTAGTTTTCATATCATAAGGTAAGTCTTTGTAAATTTAAAGCCTTTTGTTCTGATTTATGCAGGAAAGGAGGTGTGTGATAACACAAGCTTTCTGCAGACATTTCTTCTCAACTAACTCCAGAATTTGTTTTCTGGTCTGACCTAAGTTAGAAACAGAAGTCTCAGAGATCATGGCGCATTTAATGATTCAGCTCGATATAAGAGGACATCTCTACTTTTGGATTGCAGAAAGGGTTGTAACATGTTCACTTTTTATTGGACTGTAACCTATCCAACTGCATGATATACAGGAAACCTTCATTGCTTTAAATGCCTGTGCACAAAGCAAAAGCTGAGTGAAATGCTGTGGATAGATGTCCCCTCCCAGTCTGGGGCCTAGTAATGATGCTGCAGCTCATGGCAGCTTGTCCTGCAGGTCCTCTGATGCACCCATGAGCAGGTTTGGCTTGAGCCCAGCTTCATCCTGAGCTCAGCAGGCTGCAGTGGGAGGCCTACCTGTGACTCCTGTGACTGACCTGAAAGAATTCCTCATACAGAACTTCAGGTACAGATATTTACTTATCTCTGTGTTAGATATGCACACTCTGTCTTTAGAGGAAACACCAAGTCCAGTTTTCAACATGGCTTTAAATCTGCATGTAACCGTAGAGACCCAGACTTCATCACAGGCTGTTGTACACCCAAACACATGCACAACCATGGAGCAAGGATGTCTGATGTCTCCTCCCCTGCCTGTGCTGCTCACCCCACAACGAGAGCCTGACCAAGAGCTCACAGGTTGTCTCACTCAAAGTCCCAATTGCATGCTTGTGCTCTCATCATAAAAAGACACCCTTATCTTGGCGACGACAAAGGCCCCAGTTCAGACAAGCTTGGAAATCTGGACAGGTCCAGAGGCACGTGAATGTGCAGTAGTCCCACAATGCCAGAGATGAAGTGTTATCCCAAAGCAGGCCATAATCACATCTCCAATGTAAATACTCTGTTACTAGTTTAAAAGTTGTCTTCTCTAAATAATCCCTTTTATATCAACAGCTGCTCTTTCTGTGAGGCTTTCCCAGCAAGCAAATCTCTTACACACAAGAACATGGGGACAAACAAATAAAATTGCCATGTTTTTCTTAATTTGAAGCAAATACTGAGGTTTGTTCCCAGCCCTCCATCTGCAGAAAACACGAGCTCTTTCATTTCCCACCACAGAAAACCAAAAAGAAGAAAATTACTGAAATAGCTTGGCAATCTTCAATTAATCTATTAGCATTTTACATTGACTTTAACTTAAAACTTTGCAAAAGACAAGTCCCACTCCACACAGGTAACCTCTTCTTGGTCGCTCACTGTAACTCTGCTGTAGGAAGCTGACTGCCAAGGCAAGGTTCCTGTTTCAATATGATGGGAACCCACCACAATTTTCAGTGTTTTTTCAGGGTTGAAGTACTGCTCTAGTGTTTTAGGCTTATCAGGTTTGTTTTCTGTCTTTCGGCAGAGCATTTATGTTGGCCTGCACTCGCCTCTGTGCGTGGGTGGAAGTCTGAGCAATTTTACTCTTCCAGACAAAGAGAAGAGAAGACCAACTGCTTCAGCCAGGTACCCAGATTTGCTTTCCCTTCCACTTGTGGCACAGACGCTGTAGCCAAGCGGTTGTCATCATTAAGCTGTAAAAGCAGGAGTCCGCATGAGAAGGAAATGGGCACATAAAGCCATCCCGTACAAAAGGCGACACCCCTGAGATTATTCCTGCTTTAAGAGTCTTTCTAATTTGTAGATTGGTGAAAGGAAGCCCAGCTTTTGTACAAAGGTTGGGATAAATCTTTTTACAACAAGCAGCACTAAACCTGTGGTGGGGGCAAGTCCTGTGCAGGTGTGAAAAGGGAGAGCGGCCAGTGGAGCCACACGGAGTGGTATCAGCTGAGGGTACAAGCTCTGCTGGAGAGCAGAGCAAAGCACAGCCTGGCCTCCAAACAGCTTTGACAAAACAGGTTTTTGTCAATATCATGGCCAGGGTGGGCAAATCTCAGAGACAGGCTTCTGTTTTCGTGACATGTTAATAATGTTGGAACAAGGTTGAATCAGGTGTTGAAGGTGAAAAATAACGAGTATGTGTTATCCCAAGCAGCTTGCATCAGTGTCTGCACAATTTCCACTTGCAATGAGTTTGCTCTAACACTTGTGACTGTAATTCATTGCCAGTGGTATGACAGAGTCTGCTTGTGCGTCATCCCCAGTGGGAGCTGCAGGAGACAGCGCACCCTTCCCTAACTGTATGTTCCCCAAAAACTTGGGGGACCACATCCACCCTACTACCCTTTGAAAATGGAGCTAAAGCATGCTTCTTTGTGTAGGGAGGGAATTCAACTGGTGAGCACAGACTGTGGGTAACCACTCCAGCATTCCCACGCATTGCCAAGCACCCGCAAGCCTTGAATTTACGAGCTCAGTCTGAGTTGCAAATTGAACGAGACCTGCTTCTTTTGAATTTCCTAGCTTCATAGTTTTGATCCTTATGTTTCATTGCGTTAAATCCTTTCATGTTTGGGACAGTATAAAACTTCTGTTTTCTTTTTCTGCATTAGCAAGAAAGAGTCACTTTGTATTCTGGGTGTTTTGCAAAAGATGTTTAACTGAAATTGTTGTTTATTGTCATAACCGAAAAGCACTTCCTTTCATGTTTCATTTTAAATGCAGCTCTGATGCTCACAAATAATAAAATACAAACTCATCTTTGCAGTTGCAAAAGTTGGTAAAGCACATAAGCAATTCTGGGATTTTCTTGTTTCCATTAAAAATGCCCAATGTCCTGTATTTGCATGGTTGCTAACATGATTTAGATCTGGCCTGCTAAGCTCTTTTCAGCATACTGTAGGTCTAATTGTACAATTTTCCCAAAGAGGAACGCCAGCTTTTCCCTTTTCTGTGACAGAAACGCTCCCGCTGTGAACCTGCAGCAGGGCTCTGCTCCCCAGCGGGGCACGGGGGGGCACTTCCAGCCCCATTTCCTCCACCAGGCGGGGAGCAGGGGTCCCCAGGGCTTCCCCAGCTCTCCTTGGGGCTCTGCCTCTCTGACAGTTGCCAGCTTGCAGCCACACCTGCTCAGGGCCACTAAACTGTTTTATGAGAAAAGCAGCTTAATATCTTCCAGTAAAAATCATTTTGGAGGTTCCGTCCCCCTGAGCCTCCTTTTCCTTTTACCCCTGCCTCTCCTGCAGGCTCGGTGCAAACCTAATTCCCTGTGAGCGTGAACAATCCCATCTCTGGTTTTTATACATTCGGTATAAACATTTCCTGAAGCTCATAAACACCTTTGTCATTTATCAGTGCAGTGAAAGATGTTTATTGCCTAAATATGAAAACTGTGATAGGATTAGTGCTTAAAGAGGCTCGCCGCCTGATTCTGTATGGTGATGTTCTCCAAAGGAGGGGCAACTTTGGGACCGGGTTTTCATTGTGAATACAAAGGCCCCCACTTTTTAATTACTGGTAGCATTGATTGCAACTTCCAGCATTAAATGGCGAGCACTGTCTGACCAAAGCTCATTTTACAGCAGTTCTGGTATGTACCAAATTGAAGGAGGTAAAAGAAAATGGTCGGGGTGGTGGGGGAGGAAGAGGAGATCTATAACTGGCATGTTAATAAAACTCCAGTTTGTCACTTCAGCAGCACACCCTGAGTGTAATAACTAAGCTTCCTTTCTATACCCCCTATGAGTCCCTTTGTATTGACAGATGCCATTTGTTCATTTACGACGTGATAATAAAAACCTTCAGTTTTACTGAATGTTGTTCTTTTCCTCCCCTGACACTGGGGCACCAAATGGTTTGTACTGCACTCAGCAGGCACTTTTCATTAGAGATCATGGCATGAAAATGAACTGTATTTGAAAACCATTTAGTAGCAAAAGTTCTGGTATTGAATAGGCTGCATATAAATCTTCCCTACCTAGGAAGCGGCTTCCTAGGTGCCTCGGCACACACTAGCACGCATTTACAGATGCATGCTGAAATAATGGGTGTCTTTATGTCAAGCAGCGCCGCTGCATTTGAGAGTCCAAGTGCTCGGATTCCTGTAGTAATGATTGTATGTTGGTATCAGTTTCCTGTGATATATTTCTTTTAAATCTCCATCCAGATTTAAATGGCTCAGAAACATTTCTTTTGGTTTATCTGTATTTCTTTAAACTCATGATTTCAAATGTTTCCAGAAGTTTTCTCTTACACACACACACACACAAATTAAGCCAAAACTGTAAATTCAGATGTCTGGAAACTAGCATCTGAATTGATAATTAAGCCTTTATTCAGGAATGCTTGTAAACATCAGCTCAAAGTTTATTTTTAAGCACTATTCAGAACTCAGGCTTACAACACCTAAAAATGTGACTTGGTTTTCAAAGACACTGAATGCTCAGCATTCCCACTGACCTGAAAAGAATATAAGTGCATAACTTGTGTTTGATTCACCTTTGAAACTGATGTCCATAAGTTAGAAATATTTTGTCCAAAATGTTACAACATTATAAAATGTGTAAAAAAAAAAAAAAAACAAAAAAAAACCTTGGAGGATAAATAGTATTTCTTTCTCACTTTGAAAAGAAGTCAGTTATAAATTCAGTGGCTATCTATATGTTTTTCTGTGAATAGTACAGTTAAGTTTATCATAACTAGCAATACATAGCAATAATCCATATTCGTTATTCACAACTGAACGAAAAAAGCAATTATTAAACCAAAAAGAGTTTGGCCGAAGTGGAACACAGCCACATACTGTGCTCTTTATGTGCTAATAGAATGTTCTCTGCATTCTTCCCAAGGCAAAACTCTAGCAACACATCACAATAGTCTACAATATGACAATGTTACTCTTTTTAATTATTATTTTATTTGAACCCGTCATATTTCATTGCATTTGGCAAAATCTCTGTAAAAGAAGTATGTACTAACCACAAGAAAGGTAATAATAACTGTTATCATCCTTCCCTGATCATCCAGGAGAGACTTTTATCACTAACATTATCACTTGTTGCCAAACAAGTACAGAGATGTTAGCCCGGAGGATGAAATAGTTTAATCATGGGGAAACAATTTGCAGTGCACAGATCTCAGCTGGTTCCCCTTTCATCTGCTCTCAGTTACTAAGCGACTTCTGAAAATCTGTTTTGTAGCTGTAATAAAATTCATTCTATGGTCTCTCACGCACACACCAAATGGTTTGCCTAATTCAGAAGTGTTACAATCATCTGGAACAAAGAGAAAATTCATAAGTTTTATAGGGGGTTATATATTTTTTTTTAATCAAATAAACATAATCCTTGGTTTAAAAAAAAAAAAAAAAGACAAAATGGAAAAAATAATAATAATAATTTGGGGGGGTGCTGCTTGTTTCTGACTCTTTCTGAAGAAAAGATCTGTGGTGAAGTTAGACAAATTGTTGCAAAGCACGTCAGCTTCAGATTTAATGTGGCCTGAAAATCTCAATATTCAAAGCTCATAAAGTGTCACAGTAACACAGCATTTTAAGTGTGTATCAACACTTGCCTCCTGCAATACATTTTCCATATTAAATAAATACTATTTTTAATCTACAGAAAAAGAGAAAGAGAGAAAGAAAAAAAGGAATATTCATATTCCTTGTACTCCAGAAAAGCAGGAAATTTCAGGTATTAGTGCAGCTAAAAACCTGTGTGAAATCTCTGCCCCATCTAGAATTCTGTGAAATTCTTCACAATTTTTTTGAATCTGTGCTCTTGGTGTTAATCCAGTGCCAAAACATCTCCTGACTCAAAGGAAAATATATTCTAATATAGCATTTGTACTTCAGCTCAGTGGCCTTCATTTAAAGCATGTAAGTAATTTCTTAGCTTAAGAACCTTGGTGAATTGGTACCAACCCAAGCACATCACGCTGACCAATGATCAGAAAGTGCTTCTGTTGCACTGGAAGTGAAGCTTCCCTTGGACTTCATCTGTCTGCTGCTCACTTGAAGGGGTGTTCTGTGAAGTTAGCACAGTTACATCAGCTTAACATGTGGTGCTTTTTCTCTGTTTCCCCATGTGGTATCAAGAGCAGACTGCCATAAAATTATTTTAATGTAATTTTTATACTATATTATGTGTCATTTAGATTACAGCTTGTAACTTAACAATTTGTACATGAACTTCAGGCCTGGTACATGGTTTGCAGTTGTTAAGTACATTGGAAATGCAGACAGAACGAGTAAGTGGGAAATGTGCTCATGGATCATTTGCCAGCAGGTAGGTTTGGGTTTGGTTTCACTGTTTCTCAGTAGTCTTAGCTGAAAGTCACCAACGCTGTGTTTGCCTTGACATAACCAAATGTTGGGCTCTGATACCCTTGCATTGAATACAACTTCATGTCAGAAGCAACCCTGTTGAATTAAAAGCCTTTTTTTTTGTTTGCTTGTTCACAGAGAGAATAAATTGGGATTATTTATTTTTTCATTGTTGAGGAAAGCTTATGAAACCTGTTTTTGACTGGCTGGTTACAGTAGGCTCCTGAACTTGAACAAAAACCAGGAGGCTACAAATGGCAGGGTCCAGATTTATATCTGCATTACAAAAGCCAAATTATCATATAATCATGTGTTTCCTTCTCTCTATGGTTTGGTTTAGACTACTAAAAAATGACAGGTATATTGATTCAATAGTTATATTTTCTTTGGATGCCCACATATACTTAACTGAATGTTTTTTGCTAGAATAAAAAAATATTTCAGTTTAGTTGGAAGAGCCTATTAATTTACTAATTTACTACCTGAGTATGACCGTTTCTTAGACTTTGATTAAGCTGGAAATGTATAAAAGTGTCTTTCATAATGCATCTTAAGAAATTGCACTATAATGCTGTTTAAACGAATGTACACATGAAAACAAGAAATGGAAATAAATGTCTAATGTTTTTCATGTCTTATCTCTTCGTCTTGCACAAAAATGACTTTTGCTGAGCAACAGATAACATCTCTCTCTGAGCACAAAGCGCTGGGGTTAATTCAAAGAGTTCCTCACTCTTCTCAGGCTCAACTGCTCGTCAGCGTACTGTAGGCCGTTATTGTGGTCATGCAATAACCAGAAAGAGAAAGTGCTCAGTGCACCCTGAAAAAGGAACTGGTAGAAACCTATCTGCAACAAATCACAGATACAACACTGCAGGTAGGACCAGTGTACAAAGGAGCACGGGGAACATTCTAATTCTTGCTAGCAAAAGCAAGGAAGTTCAGTTAGGTCAGGAGGCCTCTCCATCATCAGCATGCCAGTTTGTGTCTATGAGTTACATCAGTCCCTGAAGAAAGATTTATTGATTACTTCTTTAAAAGGAGACATATAAGATTCATATAAGAGCAGTATTTTCTATCAGTTACAGCAGTAGGGCTGCCTTTACCCCACCTCATGCCTTTCGTCTCTTTATCCACCACACATTTTTGAAATCCTACACTGTGTCTCCCAGTGCAATGTTTTCAGCAGTGATGATGGGCAGGTCCAGCCTGTGATAGACTCTTCCAGCTGTATAAAACACAAACAGCAGAGTACTGGCAGCTGAGCAGGAAGGTATAGTCTACCTCTCAGTCTACATGGGAATATACCAAATGTGCTGTTAAAATCCATGATTTGCTCACCACTGCGTGGGAGGAGTCATTGAGCACAGGTTCTGTATGGAACACGAATGGTGTGCGTAAGGGGCAGTGGGAGCCTTCTGTAGTCTTCTGGCAGCAATTTGTCCATCATATATAACATCTCCATGTATTCTACACAGCTCGGTAGACACCATCATTAATGAAAATCTCATAGACACCAGTTTAGAGAGGAAGAGCTGTGCAGCAAGTGGGATGCTGGCTGAGGACTGACAATTTCCTGGGCAACATGGAGCAAACTACCTGTTCTCTTCTTGCTTGCCCCAGTTTCACCCTTTATACAGGGAAATGCACAGATTATAATGTTTCCCAATGTCAGTGTGATGTTGTGACACATCATACTCAGATACTGTGTAATGGGGACGCTATAAATTCCATAGCTACTTTATCTGATCCAGCAGTCATGAGGCTGCCTGTCTGAAAGTGGCTGCTGTTGATAAGAAAACATTCCTGCTCTTGAAATTCCTTTTTGAGAAAAGAGTAAGGAAGGTCTCAGTCATGTTCTGGTGAGCAGGTGCCTTTGCTACGGCAACATAATGGTCACATGCTGTGTGCTGTCCCACACTTTGCTGGGTGAAAGTCTCTGTACGTGTGCACTGCTGACCCTGGAGAAGGGGAAGTTATTGGAGAGGCATCTTCTGCTGCCCTTCTGCAGGGCTGAGGTGGCCTTGGAGCCCAAACCGTTGCATCATTTCTTTACAACAAACTGCGGAAATTTTAAGGAATTGTTCTCTTTTCTTAATTGTTTGTTTTGTTTATTTGTTTTGTTTGTTTGTTTTGGTTGGTTTGTTGTTGTTGTTTTTCTGAAATAGCAAAACAATGGAAATTAATTATCATAATCCCACTTGAAAACTATTTTTTCTGTATTTAAATATGTATAAATGGTCTTGATTTTACCTGCTTTTTAATGAAACTATTTTTATTACATTTGCTCTAGTTGTAGTAATTTTGCACCAAGTTTTAGCCCAATGCAATACATCTAAAACCCTTTGAATGTCTTTGTTTGTTATGGGCTGACAGCTGACTCTTAACTCTAATATGGTGCCCTATTATTTATCCTCTGGTGTCAAACTAGCCAAAAGAATTCCAGAACACACACATATATTACTGTATGTGCAAACAAAAGGAGGTTTCCAGGTTACAAATACCAATGGCAACACTGGAGGATTCTCAGCTAGGCAAACATCATGACAGTGACCATTCAAAGTCTTGGAGAAAAACCATTAGTGCTACTTCTGTGGAGTGGAGGAATCAGCAGCTCCAATACTGTCTGTACACCTGAGTTTGTGATCCCATGGTAGCAAAGTCAGAGAGACTGGTAGTTTTCATATGTCTATTACAAAATTCTCACCTTTCCTCTCCGTCTTTTCATTTCATCTTCATATAGCCAGCCCTACAGGGTTAATTTAAATAACACGTTTATTACTTCAGCAGTTCACAAGAAACATGACTTGTCTAGTTCTGTTTATAGAGCATGTAATCATTAGAGTAAAATAACAACAAAGATCAAAACTCTTAAATCACCATCTGTATTTAAAACTGACCTCAAGTCTTTCCTGTAACAGAAATACTGCTGTGAGCACTTCTGAAGCTTTTGGGGCCTAAACTACAGTATTTTCCATTTTTAACAATATACATCATTATCTTTTGTTACGGTGGATTTTGCTATGTACATTTATTTATACTTTGTTGCTATGGTAGTTGCTACTGGTTTTGAAAGGTAGGGATGTATTATCAGTCAACTAAAATCAGATTAATTGAGCTCCTTCTGATATAAAGATCGCAAATCAATACAGTGTTCCCCCTGTAAAATGCCCAATTTTTGTGTTTTCTTTCATGCCTCCTGAGATCTGATGCATTAAAATACACGTGGAACTAACTTTTCTTTCTCTTCTCACCCCCACACTTCCCCATATGTGGTTCTGATTTTCCCCTCAGGGTACCTATGGGAGGTCTGGAAAACTCTTGGGAGCTTTCACAGAATGTTAATATGTATAACACTGCATTTTTAGTTTTAAATAAAACATGTGAAGCTTTTTCTTTCTGAGGATAAACAAGTAAAACTGCTAGTTAAAAACTATTTGTGAGAGAAAGTTCTCTTTTATCATAAAAACCTTAATAACAGTTAATTGTATTTCATAGCATTTGGCACCCATGGTATTAAGCATTTACAATTCCTTGTAAAATGTCTGGCAACGCTGACTTTTAATTCTCTTGATTATTTTTTTTCCCCCTCTTGATAAGAAATTTCTACCTAATGGTCCAATCTAGCATTTGCTATTCGATCCTTAAGCATTTTGTTTGCCTAACAGCAGAATCTGCTCCCTGATATCTATGCTGATCTTTATAAACCTCATCTTTGTGCTGTGATATTTATTGTGAGTACCAAGATTGCAATCACAACTGGGAGCAGAACCTTCTGCTATAAGTAATTCTACAGATAACACAAATAAGCATTTACAAGATCAAACTCTCAAGCTCAAGCACATATACCAGCACAGAGACACAGGCACCTTTGGATAGATGACAATTCTTTGGTGGCAATCAACATGCATTAAGTTATTGGTTATAGCTGCACTCCCTCATTTTACCCTCACTTGAAAAGTTAGCTAGTCAGTGCTTCAGATAAAGGCTGTGAAATTTGATCACTGGAACTAAAATGGATGGCTTAGCTGCCTAATCTCCTCCATCCCGTTATCATCAGCTCCCAATCCCCTCCCCACACCACCTTCAAAATTGGGAAATAGCCACAGACTTATGGGAATGTTGTGCTGAGCTAAAAGAAACAGCTCTTCAGGATTGTGCAGCTTCAACCAGTACCCATGGGTGGACCTGATGATGAGACCCAAAAAGGGAAAACTGACTGTAGGAGAGACATCACCAATTTGTCTGTCAGATCAGCTTATTAAAATTGATAAGTGTGTTGATAATATCTGAAAATATCTGATTATATAGTCCTAATTTGTTTAATCTGTGTTTATTTGAGCAAATGAGCTCTGCAGACTACGTTCTGACAGAGAATGCATGCTGTTTTCAGGAAGAATTTTAGCCAGGAGAATTGAAACTGCCTCATCGACACAGTGCACCCATCTGCGCAGCACATGGACGGGGGAAGAAGACATGTTTGGATGTCTTTGAGTGGTGTCCCACAATGGAGATCAGATTGTGTTTCTCATGCATGACCCAGAAGCAGCTGGAAGCAGGGAGAGGCCCAGCTGCTCCCCTGGTACTGCTAACGGCACAACCAGGGCCAGGTCCCCACCTCCCGCTGCAGCAGATGCAGAGCACCTGGGGGTTGGCCCCTAAAAACAGCCACCATGGTACCCACAGAGCCATCCCTGCCTCCTCAGCCCCTGTGGCTGCTTCTGAAGCCTGCCAGAGTGTAAGGGTTCAGTGTGCCCTGCAGGACCAATGTTGCTTCTCTGCAAAGTTTTTTCTATAGATATAGCAGGCAGTCCTAGATCTCTGGAAGCCTTTTTTTTTTTTTCCCCCAACAGAAATTATTTCTCTGTAAGTACAAATTAAGTTTGTCTTTGTGCACTGTGTTGGAGGACTATTTCTTCTCTATGAATACACAAAGAAGTCAAAATTAAGGTGGGGAATAAACTCTAGTTGTGTTTCACTTCTGAGCTTCACTGGAAGGGATTGTGTACACTCGTACTTCTTCCAAGGGAAACTCTTTCCAGCTTTGCTAAATGCACACGGTCTTGCTATCTCGTCAGTGCATTTATGTTGTTAATGGAAGTTCATTTACTGGAATTGCTGAACAAGAAGACAAAATAATAAAATTACTACTGATATCACGTCCCTTTTACATCCATAGACCTTACAGAGGTGAAAAACAGTTACTTACACTTTTCTTGATATTGTAAATTGCAACTAAAATCCCAGTTTAATTCCTGTGTTTATTCTATACTATAACAGCACACGGGCATTCTCATCCCACATTTAAATTGTATTAGATGATGGAAATAATTATAGCAAAAAAGTGTTTCATTTTCCAATTAGTTGCAATCCTTGCATAGGATAACACAGTAGGACTAAAAACTGATGGATTGGGCTAATAGTCTGAACCTCTGGAAGCTTTAGCAATATATATACACTTATTATTAGGTTTTAACTGGACATTTTATTGGTGATAAAGTATTTACATTCTGTACTAAAGTGTTTCCAGAGCATATGAGTTGCTGCTAATTAATCTAGTTCTGATTATCTGAAGTGTTTTTACAGTAATGTAATTTTTACCAGTTTGCCACTGGTCTGTCAGGTATGGGCTCCTGCTTCTGGCTGAGAGCAACAGCTGAACTCTGGACAATAGTGAATATCTCCCAGGTAGATGTGTAATGTTGAATGTGGAACTGGGGAGTTGGCTTTAGTCCTCACCTGTGGCATGAGGATTACTGTGAGAGTAAGTAAACGATGGTCTATTATTATTCTACTTTTTACATTCTATTTAAATTCAAATTGAATGTCCTTTATAAAAAAAAAAAAAAAAAAAAGAGAGGTATTTCCTACTTTGCACTCCCCATCCCCCTTACACAACCAAGGACATATTTAAAACTTAAGGGCAAATGTTCCATAAAACACTGCCCAACCCTTTGCAAATTCCCTGCATAACTCTCACATGCATCCTCTAACTTTAGTCCATCCCTACTCCAAAGTTGTAATTTGCCCTCCAGTCCTTTTCTCTCTCTCCCTCTCTCTTTTAAAACAATCTTTGAGATGACAATTAGCTTAAGAGAAGCACTTAGAGCTTTGCTTCAATTACAGATGCTTCCATCTCAAGTTATATGTTTGGCTGTTTTATGCTAATTTAATGTTATTTTGCATGAAACACCAGTCTGAATTCTCTGATTGTTCACTCCTTATCTGAGATTTGTCTCATGCTTTCCACCCATGGGTGTGGTGATCTACATCCCCCATAGATGCAAAGGCTAACTCCTTCACCCAAAACTAGGTTTTGTTAAAGAGAATCCCTTTAGGCAGAACTGCTAAAGCTAAAAAAGAAATAGAAGTATTAGCGCTGACCATTAATACAGTCCTTTTCTCTCTCTTTGTGAAGCTTTGTGAGATCTGTAGAAGAAGTAAGCATTGCCATTTGCATTTTACAGGTACACAAAGAGGGGAAGAGTACATTTGGACCAAAACAAATCTGATACGGAGTCATAAAGGTTTGGGATATTCATTGGGTTTGAGGACACTTTAAATGATTATACTTATGATAAGAGTGATATAGCTGGGGAGAGCTACCATGGTTATCATCAGTTTCCTTTCTCCTGTATGCTCAACATTTTTTGTGTTTTTTTTTTTTTTTTTTTTTTGTCTTAAATACATGCATCTGATAACTTGAAGTAATTGTTATTCATAGTGTGAACCTCAAAATTTCTGTCCAGTTTAACTCCATCGGTGCTACCCATCACACTCTCCAAAGATATCCAATATTTCTTTCCATGAGAACACCTTGGAGCAGAATAGATTTAAGTAGTGTGTTGGTGGAGAAAATTAGGTTGGGATACCTGGTATGGGGTTGCCAAATGCTGTGAATCACTAACTGGAAGAAGCAGTATGAGATGTCCTTGAGAACTTCAAGGAAGCAAAGACCACCTGTCTTCATGCCAATAATCCTGTCTGAGAAAAATGATGCTGGAGTTAAAATTGTACGTGACACTTTCATTCTTGGTCTTCCTCTTCACCCCTCAAATTTCTGCTGCTGTATATTAAGTATCCCCCTTGTGAAGTTAAAGTAGCTCATAAAAGTGTTAAGTAAAAAGTCAAAACTTACATGGGAACTGTTACATTTTCTCTGTGTGGCCATAATGAGGTTATTTATGGTACATGTAGGAAAGATTAAAGGTTTTCATAATAAAGGAAAGCAAGAGCTCAAGAATTGGGTGCCTCCTAACAGCACTGACTCTCAAGACAGGATAAATCACCCAAGCAACCATTAAAACTTCAAGAAGATTGCTTGTAAACCTCCAAGCAATGCCAATAAAGCATATTCCTTGCCATATAGCAGTCCATATGGTGGAGCTCAGCAGTTTTTCAAAACTAAGGGCTATTCAGAATTTAACCCTACTGTCTTTTTTCTTATAGGGCATAGTGCCAATGAACCACTATCAAATCAATGCGATCTTTAAATGTGGGAGGGCGGGGGACCTGGGGAGCAAACTGCAGTCTCAGGAAAAGTTAACTTATCGGGAAGCGGGCTTCCTGAGACCATGAAGATGTTTTTGATTCCTGTGTTTAGGAACTCAGCACCATTTTTCATTATGCTGCTTCTTGGGGGTCTCACATCATAACAAAATATTAGAGGCACATTTTTATGGGCTATCAGGAAGCTAGGAAAATAGTCCAAGGCCCCTCAAGGTTCTGGTTCATTTGCATTTTAAAAAAACTCAAGTCTGCCCGTTCCTTCCACTCTGAAAGGCCAAGGTAGTGAAAACTGCAATAAATCATAAGCTTGCGTGTGGCATAACATCAGCAACTGCATCAGAGCCAGAAATGACCCCTCTAGTTTTACAGCAGAGGAAAAAAGGCCAAAGCCAATGATATTCTTTCTCTTTCTTATTCTTTTATTTTTTTATTTTTTTTATTTTTTCCTCCCAGTACTTATCAGGAACCTCAGACCAGGAGATTTGATACTACTAGCTCAGGCTGTATGAAGGTAAGCACTGAGGAAACTGATATAGGAAATAATATGGGTCAGCACTGGCTGAAGTGATGCCCAGAGATGGGTCACACAGTTTTGCAGACCCAGGGGATTTTATTTATTTTGTTTCTTTGATTTTTTTTTCCAATCTTTCCTCAAGGGAAGTTACTGAGTGTGATCTTCGTGTTATTCATAACCTTGATTTAAGAGAGTACCACAAATTTATTAAGAGTCTTAATTCCGCAGACTTCAGGCTCCACGTGGCAATCTCCAGTATGTTTCTGGGGGACTTCTCATAACAGACTTGTTTCCCACATGGACAGCTCGATTCTCACTGGAGGAATTTCTAGTGTTGTTACATAATAAATAACAATGATGATAATAAAATAAGGAATACCTAGTGGTATTCAAACAAAGCAGATTTAAACAAATGCTCAGCTTATGACAAATGTTTTTTTCCAACCCACTTTATAAGAAAAATATTTTTGGAGGGAAAGGAGTAAACCTAAATCTTTTATGAATACATCAATATTGGACACTCATGTAAGTCAATTGGACTCAACATCAGCTGATATAAATTGTCATCATTCTGTTAGTTTTTCATTGAGTTATTCCAGAGCTGTGCTGGAGTAATTTTCTCAGTCAGTCAAAGTCAGCGGACATATTCAAGCTGTGACTTTGGTGCCTATGTGGACTGGGATTTATCTATAGGAATCCCAAACTTCTGTCCATGCAAACTAGACAGTAAAGCAGTCTCCACTGCAATCTTCAGATATCATTGTGATTCCTACCATAGACTACCTGCAGATCTGACTTTAAAAAGTAACAAGCTTTCAAGTCCCCCCAGACTCCCAGCAAAATTGAGGAATGCTTTAGGTGTTTAAAACCTGTGAAACTGGGTGCTATTATGATAGGTTAATCAAGCCAGAATTCTGCTTCTACCTGGGAAGGAAAAGGAAGAAACATCAGAGCTGAAATTGTCAGGTCTCAGCACATGTTTCTCTTTCCACTGCCAACTTGGGAATCAGTAAACCCCTGGGACAGGATTGTGGGGGTCATATCTGACACAGTGATGCTGAAGGCTATGGGAGATACCTGGGAGTGAGCCTCCCCAGCAATATCAATACAGCGGGGGCACTGAGGTGGTGTGACTGGAGGGGGCACTGGCCTTGACACTCCAGCAGTACTCTGAAGTTCTGCTCTCACCATTGCTTGCACTAATCTAGTCCAGCACTTATGAATGGGAAGAAAATTTCTTGTCTGAGGAAACCAAATTGCATTTCAGGCGCAGCTAAGATATGTTTCCTTTGTCTGTGGGAAGGTCAAAAGCACTCAAGAGTCAGATCTACAGTAAGACCAAAGTAGGGGAAGTGAATTGGGAACTAATATTTTTAAAAAAATAAAAAAAAAGTGGCAAATGTGGTGCAAGTCCACTAAATTCTCATTCCTGTTTATTTCACTCTCCCTTACTCTTCAGAAACCCATGTGTTCCCATGTGTACCTTATTCTTTTTATTTTTATTTTTAAAGTGCCCTACTGAATTAACCATCTTATTCACATAGCAAAATCATTCAGCTATCCATCCAGAAATGCCCATGAGATTTGAAGTTAGCCTGGAAATCTTTCAAAGGACACCAAAGATAACTACACTGGGTCTTCTATTGCATTTCCATTTTATGGCATCTTTTTATATTCTGTAGTAGGCTTTTCTGAATAAAAATGAGACAGCCTCTTAAGAGGCCTTTTTATTATTTGCATTTGGCAAAAACAGCCTTAATGAGCTGTTAAGAGTCATTCCCCAGTCCTATTGTTGGCGATGCATGGGAGCCTGTAAAGTGTTGAAAAGCCAAAAGACAATTTATGATCCCTGATGCTATCCCTTCCTGAGACAATTCTTCAGAAAGGAAGATATCTGGGGAGTAGGAAGTCCCATTATTTAAATGCCTGAATAACTTTTACTGGAGTCATAACTGTGGAATTTGCTATTTTAATTTCAGACCTGTTTACACTCTGTTTTCCCTAAAAGCAGCAACGTCATGCGTGCACTGCATGGTCATTCAGATCTGCAGCACTGGAGATTAGGAAGATGACGCAAGTAAAATTCACCATTCATTCCCAGGACTGAATAAATAGCACAAAATTCCAAGCAGGCACTAATCAACTTACAGAATTCTTAATATTATTTTTTTTCCAGACACTGCTCATGCTTAATATCTGGAGGCAGTGGTCCATTTGTCAGCGCTAGTTGTATTAGCCTGGTCCACACAGATCTGGAAAGTGTAAAGGAACTAAAATTCACTGACATATGGGACAAGAGGGTTATTCAGCACAGTGGGAAAAAATGAAACAAAGAGTTTCACAAGTTTCTGCAGCAGATGGATGTGTGGTTCTTGGCATTGTTTTCTCTTTGAAAATGGACAGCAGCCAGTGAGTGTCGGAGGTGTTTGTTATTGACTGAGGGTGCTGAAAAGACAATCAAATATTTGTGACAAAGGCAAAGACCTTGGATGTTATCGTTGACACCCAGACATCTCAAGAAAAGAGCAAATATTGCATTCATTGTACTGTCTCTTCCTGTAAATGGCAAAATGACATCTTTTACCAGACTCATGCGTATTGATCTGCTTCAGCCCTTACTAACTTAAATACTGTAAATGGGTGAGGGATAGGTTTGTCTGTTTGGCTTTAATTAAGTGATACTCTCACTGTCTGAACAAAGGGATGACCCAATGAGGCCTTAAGGTAGTGCAATTTTTCCTGTTTTGAAAGAGCAATAATCACTTGCTAATAAAAACAAGGAAAGCATTAAACTAGTGCAAGATTAAAATCTGTCTTTAAGACAGCTTTTATTTGCAATATATTCTCTTTCAATACAATATTTAAAAAGAAAAAAATGAACAGTATCCTCCACTGTGATATTTCCATTGCATGTCTTACCATATGATCTCAGCACACCTCGGGTGTACAATGAACACAGAGTTTAAGCATGATATTTAAGGAGAGGGAAAAGTCATTTAGATGGTTAACTAAAGCACTCAGGTGAGCTTGATACAGTGACTGGCCAATAGGTGAATAAACATATTACCAGGAAAGAAAGGAAAAAGGAGAAAAGGCTCCAAACACTGTTCTGCCTCTGACAAGAAATTCTCTACTCTAGTCAGCCAGGTGAGGATATCTGCACGCCACCCCCAGATGCTGAGTTGGCAACAGTAAAAAAGAGAAAGAGAGAGCAGAATGAACCCAAAGCTGCTATAAAGGGGATTTGTAGCCAGCTCCAAGCCCTCCAGCCCAAAAGGAGGTGGCTCACGGCCTGATTTTGGCATGTGGCTCTGTACCCTCTGGGACACTTACGATGCAGCATGATAGGAAGAGCCCCAGGAAGCAGGAGCAATGTGAGATGGATCAGATCCATGCCTTCCCTCTGCTCCTTCCAGGCAGTGCCATCTCCTCTCTGCAGACCATGGCTTTGGGTACCATCTGGGCAGGAATTAAGGCACAACGAGGGCCGGGCAATGAGATTTCAGGCCATTGTTACATTCAGCTTTTCATCTGGTTTCAAAGGACATGCCACATGCTTGATTTGGATTTGGATGTATAATTTACAAGCTATTTTTGACTAAATAATCAAACGTGTGTAATTTGATTGCCTTCCTTTTATTGGTACACATAATAGTCACTTATGTTCTACTGTAAGAGAACAAAGTTTCCAAAAATAAAGTAACTTACTCTTACTAAAGGTGCCAGCATGGGTACTACTTTTTACTCCTGTCTGCTAGGGGGGCTGATAAAGTATGCGGTCCTGCAGTGACTCCAGATCAAATTTCAATTGATTCTTGCCTATGCCCAATATCTACTTTTTTTTTTTTTCAGACACAATCATATTTTTCTCTTTGATTTTTGAAATCCCTTGAAATGTCAAGGTCTGATTCTGGCCTCACGTCTTAAAATCAGTAGAGTGACTTTGACTCACTTCTTCCATTAATAGCAATATAACTGCAGTATAATTTTTCTTCCATCGGGGAAATATTGCCTTGCTGTTTTGTTAACGCTGGAGTCCTTTGTCTGAAATGTAATCATCAGCAATTACCCATGTGCAGAGCATTTTGTCACAGTTACTTACTGCTCACAAGCCAGCCGTACATAGTAAACAGTCAGACCCAGGGCCAGACTCTTGCTGGTGCAAGCGGTTGTAAGAAGTGTGACAATAAAGCTATGCAAATTTGCAACAGCTGGATTCTTGGCTCCTCACTTGGCTTCTGATTATTTAAAAATGTTCTTTCCTTCTGTAATTTTATTTGCATAAAAACACAACACAATAATTTGACGACTACTCACCCTCACGCTGTGCATAGAAGCAAAACAGCTTACGACTGAACCGAGCAATCAATTTTTATTTTTTTTCTGAAATCACACATCTTTCACTTTCTTTTCTATGCTGTGACTTATAAAAGTGACTTACAGTGCAGCTGGGTTATGTGGTAAAATGAGTAATTCGGAGTTGTTAAAAGAGAAGGATTATTCTTCTGTTAGCTCGTGGAACAAAGCTTCCCAATAAATGTCGTATTCTGCTGTGCACTGAGTGCTTTTGTCCAGTTCATAGCACAAATCATACTGTTCCCGAGTGCTCATCCACAGCAGTATTCTTTAATGCTTAACTCAGTGACCTCACAAAAATAATTGGTGTGAAGCAAATTTACTTAGCCCTCTGCCTTTATTTGCAGACTGAATGGCTCAGAGAATTGTGCATATTGTTTATGGAAATGAAGAGGGAGAAAAGAAAACAGAACATTACTCTCCAGATAAAGATGGGCCCATGCACAGAAGGAACACAGGGGCTTAGCATGATGTCCCTGCCTGTGTGAGAGACACCTAATGAAAGATGCTGATAGACTAATACAGCTGCAAATCAGTTCAGTGACTGTGAAAATCCAATCCAGCTGCTCTGAGTTAAAACAGTTAGCATTTCTGACATTATTCCTAAGTTAAAATTTCGGGTTTAACTGTGAGCTTTGACTAATAATTATCCCCCAGATGCGAACAGCAATAATTTATAAGCAGATTTCTGTTGCCTTGCAGGTGAAAGGACAGATTCTCATTTCTCTGTATAAATCTGAAAAATAAAATAAATAAATCCCAGCATAGCCCTAAGTGAAATTTTGGAGATTTTCAGCAAAAACTATGTTCTGAACACAAGCCATTGTTTCAAACTATCTTTCCTCTGTGCTACAGCTGGTTCCAGCGCATCTGGCAGCTCCTTGCATACTGAGCTCCTGCAGAGGAAGGCAGAGAAGGGGGTAGGAAGGGTGTTGTGGAGCAGGTCAGAATGCTGGCTATTTGTGTGCATCTATATTTATATGTATACAGATGTAAACCTTCCCTATGGGGAAAAAAAAAAAAAAAGAAAGAAGAGAGAAAGAGAGAGAGAGAAAAAAAAAACACAATCACGCAGTTTAAAACAGGGTGATAGACATAACAGAATAGTTGTGCTTGATGTGCATGTGATATAACCATAGCACAAAAGAAGCTTACCAAACAGCTTGCAGAGATTAGCTAACAAGAACTAAGCTATTCTTTTCAGGAGGTGTTATTAGCATATTTTTCATCAATACTATACTTAACAGCTACTACATAGCAGGAAGTGGTATTTAACCTCTTGTTGCAATGTAACAAGATTACTTTGTATGGTTATGTTACATTCCATTCATAAAGGCCCTCCTGTGTCCAGTTAATTAGATTCACTGTTTGGCAGCATTAGCTTGAAGAAAATGTAACAAAACGTATTTGGAATATTTAAATTTTAAGCTTTTGTTTTGCCTTTCTTTCTCGAAGGCTATATTGAGAGCTATGTAAAACTTGATTTGGGGAGATTGGCATTCATTACAGCCTTCTGCCAGGGGCTGATCAACGTGGGCTTTTAACCACTTAAATCCCCGAAGTCTAAAGGAAAGCTAATCCTCAGAGTTATAGTTATCAAAATAAATGATGATCACCTGATTTCACAATCAAAACCAGGTTAAACTATTTTTTTCCTTGATTTGCCTGCAAAAGTGTGAGCAATGCCATGAGTTAAGAGGGGACTTTCTGGTCTCAAGTTTTGCTTTTCAGTGAGTTCAGGCTCGCTTTGGAAAATAGTTGGAACATTTGGAAGAAATTGATCTGAATTCAGAGTCTGGAGTAAAACAGTAAAGCAGGTGAGTCTTGTGGAATGTCATATTTCTGTTTTAAACAACTTCTGTGGTCCTGGTATTTTTTCCATGAAGAAATGACTGTGGAGTGCTTTTGTTTTTCATTATTTTTTTTGGTCATCTTTTTCCTATTTTCCTAAATATTTCCTGGGTTGCACAACTAGTGCCAGAAGTGCTATTTATTTAAAAGACCCAGTATTAGTTAACAATAAATAATTTAAAAGAGAAAAAAATAAACATGCAACAGCTGCATGTAGTTTGTCAAAGAGTTACAGCAAGCAAAGAGGAATCAGCATCTCCCTCTTGCAGAAGCTGTTCTGTGCTTCTACAAAACAAACAAACAAAAAATCTTGAAAAATAGTTAAACAAGGCTATTTTTTCGTGTTCCTGTAAAAACATGATTTTACCACTGAGTAAAAAAAAAAAGGGGGGGGGAGGGAAACACTAATGAAATTCAGCAATCCAGCTTAACAATGCCACTATTTTGCTGTTTGGCCATACAAAGCATGCCTGGCTGCAGTATTACAGGCAGCAGTTTCAGTGCTGTAGCACAAAAGACAAATCACTTTTTTTTTTTCTTCCCCTGCCTTCCGCCCACCTTCCTAAGACTCATCAGCACAGCCTTTACTCTCTGTACATCTTTTAAAGCCAAAGCAAAAATTACAAGAGGACAGAGAAAATGTGTTTTCATGCCCAAGATTTAAAAAAAAAAAAAAAAAAAGGAGGGGGGAAACCTGAAAATCAGACTTAAAATATTGATTTGTCTTTAAAAATATATTTTGAAAGTGCTAGCATATCCTCATGAATATTATGTAGTGCCTCGTTGGGTTGCACAGTTAGATGAGCTAATGTCCTGAAGCCTGACAGAGATTCACCGTTCAGGAGCACATTGGTGTGGATAGAATCCATGGGCAGATTCATGCCCTCAAGGAAGGGGATGAGTGGCCACCTGGATGTGCCTCTGCAGCCTGCCCTTGCCTCTCTGTTGTCCATCACTGTCCATCACTGAGAACCCCTCAGGCAGCCCCCAACTGCAAATCACCACCCCAGAACTGAAGGGTCTTGAGTTTCTGATCCTTTCCAGTGCAAAGACCACTCAGCATGGCATCAGCATCAACTCTTGGGCTGTTGGGTGGAGGCTGGGAGGCCAAGGGGCATCCTGTGAGAGGGGACTGGTGGCAGAGCCTCAGCACCCTCCCAGTTTGCCCTACCGGAGGAGACCCCACCAGCATGGTGAAATGAACCTGGTGTTTGTGTTTCATGTGCCACTGCTGCCAGCAAATGTCATAAAGCAAAGGAGTTTTCACCACCAGCCTCCCAGCCGCTCTGCTTTTGTCCTCCTTGCCCAGGCCGGGTGACATGGGCGGGTGGCAGAGGGTGCAGTTGGCAGGCCCTGTACAGAGCCCTCAGGGACTTCCTTCCCTAGCACGACACGGGCCATGCAGGGCAGCAAACTCCAGCCTTGCCACTATTTCTCGTTCAGATAACAAATCTGTTAAAACATCTTTTTTGTGTGTTTCCAGACTGCAAAATTAATTTAAAGGGACACTGCCAAGGTTAGCATCCTCAGAATTTGATTTGACCAACTGGGCATGTTTCCTAATAACTTTGAAAAGTCTGCACAGATCTTTATATGTGCCTTTTTTTTTTTTTTTTCTTCCCTCTCAAGACAAATATATTTCTCCAGGGAAAATATATCAAAGCTTCAGGTCTGTCTGTCTTCATGGGCAACCCTGGTAAATCTGCCCAGTGTTCATACATAATAGACAGAAACCAAATTAGAATGAAAGCAAGCTTCCTTTTCAAGCCTTCCAAAGGAATGAGTTTATTTTCAAGAAAAAAAGGAGCTGAACCAAGAGTTGGATTTTATAAATGGTGTACAACTCTTTAAGCAAAACTCTTTGAAATTTAAAAACCAAACAAACATAGCAAGTATTTGTCAGTGGATTATGGGGCACTTATTGACTCCCATAGCAGTGCCCACACTTCCCAGGGTCACACTCAGTCTCCCATCTGCTTCAGCCCTTCCAGATATAGCAGACAAATCCTGACGTCCACATTTGTCCACTGCAACTGCTGCTTGCAGGACTTATCAATTATTCAATCGATAACTTGTAAGATGTGTGCCCTCCTATCACAGAAACTTCTTTTCCCCAGCTACTGTGACATTGCTTGATGAAACAAGATGGTGAAGCTCTGGGGTTCCTTGCTGGCCTCACCCTCAGTGCGTGTACTCAAACTTCATTATGTGTCACTTTTAGCTTTTTTTTTTTTCCCCTGGAAGAAAATACCATCTAAATATTTTACTAGTGGCACAGTTGTGCCAGCCAATTGGTTGCAGAAATGGCCTGCTTGAAATGACAGGACAAGCCATGGAAACTTCCTAAATATAGAGTGATCTGCTCTTGAACTGTGATCTACCATAGAATCAGCTACAAATAACATCATCTCCAAGGTAAACACATCTATTCCTAGGGCATCATTTCAGAATGGAAAGTAACCAAATTACATCCATGGAGTTCAATTAAAGATGTAATCTTACCTCTATGAGTTCTGATTTTTTCTAAAACCAGTAAAAGCCATTTTTCTATAACACTTTCTCACAGCTTTTCCAGCCATTTCCAGTATCTAGTTTGTGGTGGTGCTGGTAGTATGTTTTGTTGTTGTTTTGTTGAATGAAATAAGGGCCAACAACAGGTAGGTACATAACTGAGGCACCCGCTGAGGCATTTTGAGCCCTTAGCATCTGCACTAGAACTGTCTCCTTATAATATGGATGACAGGTTTGTTACTCCTTTTTAAACTCTGCGGAGTATAGATATTATTAACAAATTCAATGCCTTGTAGTACTTCATACAATGCTCTAAGAATTGTTTCACAAGTTTCATCTCATTTCTCAGGTACACACCCTGTTTCTCGTAAAAAATACCACTCGCATTGCTCCCGCTGGTCAGCTCAGCAAGCATCTTTTATGCACTGTTTACCAGGAGCAGACCTGCAGTATTTTCTCTTACATGGAGATAAAATATTCTGCTTCTGCAGGTACAAAACAGTACTCCAGAAGTGTTAGAAACACTGCAAATGAAAACTGTGAACCTCTGTGAATTTCATTTAAAAGTTCCCTTTCAAGTGGAAATTCGTTATTTTTCCATAAAAATGATGATCAAATTAGATCAGACTCTAGTTTTTCCTTTCTTCTCTTTCCCTTTCTTTTCTTTCTTTTTTTTCTCATTTCCCCCTTCTACAGTGAAGATAGGGAGTAAAAGAAAACACTTTTAAAAGACCTGCACTTTTTTCTTGAAAGAAGTACTACTATTCAAGTAACTTCTGAAAATAAGCTTCAAAGCGAATTTCTTCATTTTGCTTTTGAGACCTCACATTTATTCTTTGCGTTCAAAGTACTGCCAATCCTATGGAATTCTTTCTGTAAATTCACAGAAGCAGAGCACCCTCGCTACCTTTCCCTCCATCTAGATTCTCTTGCAGCTGCCAGTGGAACGCTGGCACGGCACGGCACAGCCCAGCTTCCCGGGCGCCAGGCAGGAGCTGTCCAGCAAGGCCTGGGTGGCTGTCGAGCTTTCAGCTGCTCCTGGAAGCCACCGGCACACTGCTTGGCTGCCTTATACCAGGCAAACGTCAGGGACTGTCTCTGTTCATCTGCCTTAAATTTTATAGAGTTGCATCGGCTTCGCAAAGCGAGGGAGACGATGTGGGGTGTGAGCTGTCTCTGTGAGCATAAACACACAGGAACCACGTGTTTACAGCGTCGGTGTTTGTGCTGAACAAACGTCCTGCAGCCCCTGCTCGTCCTCGTTTAGCCTCTTCTCACACCCTAAATCATTCCTGAAAGGGAAACGTTCACCTGCATGGCCACTGTGGAAAATACAGTTCTGTTTAGCCTTCTATAAACCCCTCTGTAATTTCATTATCATTTTTCAGGAACATACTGAGTCACACACCAAAATTTGAACACACATGTTCTGCCGGGATTACTCACATGCTTCAAGTTGGGCACATGAGTAAGTAGTTTGTTGAATCAGGGCCTAAAATGGCATGCTATTTCTCAGTATAAATTATAGTTTAAAGCTCATTCTAGACCACCATGGCAAAATAAATCTTTATCTTAGCTACTTAGTACTAATGAAAAACAATATTATCGGTATTTTTCCTATAGCAATTCACTTAAAGAGAAATGTTGTACAATTACAGAGAATGGCTAACCGTGCTTCTTGATCAACCTGATAATTAATAGGAATAGAAGAAAAAGCCCTGTATTTCTGAGTGCCGATCAGGCAGCAAAGGCACTCCAAACATCTGAAGAAAAAACAGTTTGTTAATTGCTGTCTAGACAGTTTATTGCTGCAATAAGATCAAAACACAGAATACTGAGGTTTGTGGTATGAATCATGCAGACTAAACAATTGTTTTATTGCATTTACAGAGCACTTGATTTATAATGCAGTCAGTTTGGTAATAAAATTCCTCCATTGTATATCCTGAATAATTTCACCTCTTTTTGCATCTCTCTTTTAATTCTATATCAAGATGGTTTAAAAATGCCTGTATGGAGGGAGGATTACTGTCATGTATATAGGATATTACTTAGCATGGATCCCTGTTACATTGTCACCGAGCATACAACACTCAGCTGAGCCTTGATCAGCTGGTGGTATTATGGGCACACCAAAGAACAGATTTATTGGGCTGCAGTGAGCACACTAGAGGAAAAGTAAGGCTGTCCCATTGTAAGAGGTTTTGTTCCACTTGAACCAAAAGGGATCAATCAGGCAAGTGACTTTTTTTTCCCTTTAAAAAAAAAAAAAAAAAAAAAAACACTTTATTACTCTGAAAAACTTTTTTTCCTGAGAGGAGTGATTCATTGCTCCTCTTCTGTGGTTATCTCTGGAAGACTGAGGTTTAAGGGAATTCCTCTGGGAACCCAGAATCTTTTGGGATGAAGAAAGTTACTCTTTTCTTTACCAAGTGCCTGAGCTGGGATAGGGCAGTAGTAGCATTAAACATTAAATTTTCCTGGGAACATAAAGTATTGTCTTTGTATAAGAGAAATTTGTTTTGTTTTGTTTCATTTGCCAGTTTTGACCAGCTATAATCATCCTTGTATCTATGAAAAGAAAAATATTGGAACAGAATGTAGTTCTGGAGCAAAACCAAAACAGAGCCCTACAGCTTGATGTTCTTAATTTCACAAATTGCATACTGAAATCCTGGTCCCATCAGGTTTGGTGGAAATGTTGCCATTGATTCCATTGGGTCACAGTTGGACATACAAATTTAGTGAACTACTTATTGATAAATCTGAGAGTGCTGGGGGAAGCATGATGATATTTGTCACTTTATAAAGACCTGTTTACATAAGATTTTGAACTGAAAGCTGTTTGGGTAAGTTTAGATAAGTATCTTTTGTACTTTGCCTTAATATTGGGGGGAGGGGGGATCCTTCTGTGCAGTAATCCCCTGATTAAGGAGATCTGTTCTCTCTCATTGTAATATCTTAACTTGAATACCCTCACTGTAGTTGTATTTGGAGTTAAGCTCTTTAAGAAGGCAGGGCAGCCAGGCTTGACTGGTACGATATGTCTGAAGTGGAGGTGTTTTTGCATATACTCATACTTGGCTTAATTCCTCCCAGTAAAAGTTGATGTTCCTGGTGGTCAAATGAAATTACTTCTGACGATCGCACAAGGCCTGTACAGAGCCTGCTCCACCCACCAAGTGTACTGTACAGGCTCTTCATTATCTCCTAGTACAAGCTGCATTCCAGAGAAATGACAGAAAATGCTCTGGTATAAATTTTGATCCCAGCTGCCCATACTCACAATGAGTGGAGATCAGCCCTATCTCTTTAAAACTTCCAAGCATTGCATTGCCTGTCTGCCTTGTAATTCCTCTCGCAGCCCTGCAGGAAGACCACAGTGGCCCCAGTTCAAGCTGCATTTGGACCTCAGTCTTCCACCTAGGGCAGAACAAACCTGCTGAACATCCGAAGCATGTGAAGAGCCGAATTTACAGGGGACAGATGGAGAAGTGCACAGGCCAGAGTGCAGCGGAGGAGCTGACCTGAGGAAAGGTAGGGCTCTGGGGACAACCCAGACAGCATGGGTCTTGTGGCTGATCCTACAAGCTTTGTGTGTCTGCAGGGCACGAGTCTCAGCAGCACTCCCAGGTGAGGAGCCTGTGGAAGCTGGGGGCTCATTCAGTGCACTTCCAAGAGAAACCCAGAGCAACTCTGACACAGGGCTGGGTGAAGAAGGGGAAGATGTTCAGGCAGGTACCATGTTACACATTTCCCAAAATACCACTCCACAGCCCCCTTCCTTTCTTCTCTAAATGACAGAGGAACATACAAGCAGAGAAGAAGGTGCCTCTTTTTACATAGCTGTTTTATTTAACAAATAGGTAGTGATAGTTGTAGACAAAAGCAAATACTACAAGCCACCGTGACAGGGCAGGCCAAGCCCAGGGGGCTTCCAGCAGCATAAACCAATGCACTGTGAACAGAGAGGCTGAAAGAGTGCCTGAGATGCAAACAGCATTCAGTAGTCCTGCAAGCAATCTGGTAACTGATAATTTAGACTTGGAGGTTTTCATGAATAAAATGGTAAAGTAAATCTACAGCACTGATGCCAATAATGCAGAACTACTGTTTTCCAGTTTGGAGAGTCCAGGTAAATTATTTGGTCACTTTCTGCAGAAAGAAGGAAGCTGTTGCTGTCTGAGAGGATTTGGCATAAATTACCTTGTGGGAATAGCAGAAGGAGCTCTTTTCAGAGTCCGAATTCCCTACTGATGTTTTTTAAAGCTGAGCAAATACTTCTAAAAAGGGTGCCTTTCTTCTTTATGGTAGGACATTGGTCCACACCACACAAGTGAGGTAGCTGCCAGAGCGTGTTGATACCAATTCAGGCAGTTTTCTCCTCTGGTTCTCTAATGCTTCATGTGCAGCAACACGTCAGTCACCTGCACGTTAAGAAAAATTTGGGATGCCATTTCTATACATGTTGCCCAAGATGTTCCTGGGCCCATCCCTTAGTGCAGAGGACCCAGAAGATGGTTCTTACCCCCCTCTACTATGAATGGCCAAATACACTAACAAGCATAGAGGTACTTGTATGAAGAACTTTAAGATAAAAAGTTAGGAATTTTCCTCATTTTTTGGTCAAATGTCAGCTTACTGGCTTTGAGTGTGTTATTCTGGAGGATGCATTCTCCATGTGCTCAGTGTGGATCCAGGCAGGACGGCAGCACAGTGGGCACAGTGTCCTTGTCCCCATACTTGGGACAAGGAGCAGGGGAATTTATTGTGGGGAAAGGCAAAGTGAGAGAAGGGTTATGTCTAGGGAAAGGTACCAAAATGTTGTAGGTGCTGTGAGCAACAAATGCAGAGGCTGAAAGGTGTTGGGGACCAAAGGCTCGGGAAGTTACAACACAGCAGCCAGTGTGCAATCCCCCCAGACAGGTCTGTGCCCCCCTCCTCCAGCAAAGCACCTTCTCTCTCATCAGTGCTATGCAAGCTGTTACAAGCGTATGTACTCGAGGCAGTCAGCCCTTTGTGCTCTCTTTTACGTGGCTTTAAATGCTGCTAGAAGTATTTCTGTTGTTTATTGCTGCTCAATAAAGTTTTATCTTGTGAAAGTCATGATTTATTTACTTCATCTTGCAGAATAGACATGTGCGCTCTCCCACCTCAGCACCCCTTTACCAGATTCATAAAATGTGTTAACAATTCATTTAAAATTCATATACAAGCCAAGTACAGTTCCTTCACAAAGCTGCACCAAGTAATATAAAGCAGCACGCGCCCTGACATATGGCACACTGTCAACGTGTGCTCTTAAGGCCTCCCTCAGCTAAAGTACTTCAGTGTGCTCTTGTAATTGCTCATGTCCAGCCAGTCAAACAGCATCTTCCCATTTTCCAATTACTGTAGAGTTTTTGCTCATTTTCCCTCTCAGCTACCATGAAAATACAGGCTATGAGGATAGGTGGTTTAGAGAGAGACTGGTCAAAGTTTATCTTCAGCTTTAAAGTTTATTGACTGCCTGTTTAACAGGAGGCTTTCACCTGCCCAGACAAGACGTGTCTCCTTGCCGGTCTGTGTGTGAGTTATGCAAGGAAAAAGGTAAGGTGAGAATCAAAATAAGAATTTCTACCCAGTGTGCCCTTCTGGGAAAATCATCTTGCTGGTAGCTCTTGTGACAGTCTTCATTCTGAAAGGTGCAGTCGCCATGTGGCTTCAGTCACCTTTTACTAATAGCTGTGAAACATCTCTGGTTCTTCCCTTTCCCTGGTATATTCAGTTTTCTTGCAGCAGACTCACTCACATCACTGTTATTTTCATTTCCCAGCACCGAAGAGCTGTGAACCTGACCCAAGCACATCTCCCCTCCAGGCTCCTTGCAGCAAGAAGCCCTGCTCCAGTCTGTGCCAGGAAAAGACAGCTACGGGGATGTAACCTCAGGCTTCAACATCCTCTGGTACCTCACAACATTTGCGTAATTCCCAACCGAATGAGACTTGAGGGATCTGTGATGTCTCTGCAGCACACTTTTTTCTTTCTATTCCTATTTTAATAGGGCCACGCACAGGGAAAGGCGTGTTTGGGGATTCCAGAGAGAAATCTATTGGCAGTTCTGTGCTGGCCCAAACAGTAAAATAAAACATTGGGGTGTGGACAGGTCCCAGGCATGTGCTTCAGGCCGTGGCTCTTCAAAAGAGCACCCAGCTGGGCGGCTCTGCTCTGTGTGAAGCTGGGCAGAGTCCTTGCTGCATTCCTCACAATGTTGCTACACACATTTGTGCAATATTTGGCTTATTTGTGCAACGTAATTAATGAAACATGTCTCATTGGCACCAACATCCCTAGGGACCTAAAGCAAATGGGAGGCTTTAAAGCCTTAAAGGGTCTTAAAAGCAGAAAATATTTACCACAAGTTTATTAAATCAAGCTTTACTGGTAATAAATTAGCAGCCTGTAGACATGCCTTTTTCTTGAGGATCTGACATTAATCTTCTAGAAAAATACAGTAATGATTTACAATTTTCATAACACCTTTCCTTCTTTCAATTCCCAGGCATTTTGCTTCCAGAACTCCTACGTTTGTTCAGGTCTCCCTACGGTGAGTTTCCTGCAGAAAAGGGCGATGAGAGAGGGACCCCCATTCGTGTGCCATTCTCAGGAAGTCCATGAGAGACATGAGCCTTACCAGCATGCTTTATAGGTGCATGCAAGCAAAACCCCACACGTAATACTCATGTTATTCCTTTTCACGTAGCCACTGATCCATGACGCTGGAAGTATTTTAAAGACATTGACCCAGAGTCTCAGTAATGGAGCTGGGGGTGGCTGAAATGCCCATTCTGCTCCTACATCTGCAGTTTAGGTTATGTGATCTTACTGTGCTGTTTCAAACCCAGAAAACACTGGGGGGGTGTTTACAGATTTGCACATCTCTCACACTGCACCATTGTATGGTAAATTACATTGGAGCCTCTCCTGAGCTCATTAACAAAAGCCCATTGTGTGAGGGTGTTATATATCCCGCGTGCTTAGCCTGGGACTTATACGTGTGTCATGAAAGTGTTGGTGAGCTTGCATGAGAACTGCTTTCTAGTATTTCTGTTTGGATTTTTAATGACATTTGTGCAGGTGCACAGCTTATAAAAAGAATCTTTTCTTAGTCCATGAAGTTGTTCCACAATTCAGCTGGAGCAACAGGCATTCTTAGCAAAGCTTGATTTTTAGTGGTGACCTCCAAAATTTTTGCTGCATCACTTAGAATTACTCATTTTTATTTATTAAGGGTATGCTTGAGTATCTTCCCATTAAATAGAGAATATTCTATATACAGCCAGGGGAGGGCTTGTCCAGTTCGACAAAAGCTAAATCAAGACCAGGCAATTGTACTCAAGGACACAAGCAGATGTGAATAAGCTTATCTTTTCAGTGTAATGCCATTTTACAGTAATAGGTGATTAAGTTTTATTGCAAGATCAAACCTTCTGTGTTATGTAGTATATTCCTGGCTGCGTTTGACACAGCTTGATAACTGCTCAGAGGGATATCTGTGGCATCCGTGAGTGGGAGGTTAGGGGGATGGTTGGCCTAGATGATCTTGGAGGTCTTTTCCAACCTTAATGGTTCTATGATTCAAGCTTTCATGACAGAAAGGGGTTGGTGATAGGACTGGCCTAAACTCTTCTTGCCGAGTTACACCTTCCCCAGTTTTCCCCAGTACCCTTCCCAAGCTGGCTCTCCACCTGCTTTTTTTTTTTTTTTTTTACTGTTTAAGTTAGATCACATCCCTGAACTGGATCACAGACTGGTCACCCAAGAAGATGGACCAACACAAAAAGGACTGTGGTACAGAGAAGAGAAGTTAAAAAAAAAAAAAAAAAAAAAAAGGCAGAGGGATTCCTGGATTATTGGAAACCACAACAGCCTCAAAAGTCTCTGTAACATGAAACTGCAGATAAGGTTGGTCATAGCCCGTGACGTGCAGCTGACGGCTGAGCCCATGGGAGAAGAGCCTCCCAGCAGCATTGTGCAAGGGGCTGATACCGCGTCCTCCTAAATCTTGGAGGGCTGAAGCTTATTTGTACAACAAACAAGGCTTGACTGGAGTTTACCGTGCAGAATTGTGCCTCTGTAACACAGTTCAGCTGTGTGTATATTTCATAGCAAAGAAAATATAGTGATGACTTCCACTAGGTTTCTTCATCAGTGGCCATTGCATTAATGCTAAATGTTTGTGTGACTTGTTTGGGTTAAAAGAAGTGCATTGGACAGGATTCTGAATAAATGTAAATTAGAAGTGACTCATTAAAATATTTGGAGTTACAGGCACAAACGGGATCAGAATCAAGCCACTTGTCCTAGTTTCTGTCACACAAACACTAACCCTTTATAAATCATTAATTTCCAGACTGTTTATTATCCAGGGGAAGTAACAAAACAGTAGTATCACATAACACATCCTAAGAATGCCTTGTTCATTTTAAGAGCAAATAAAACTAAATAGCACCAAGTTGTTAGTGATGCAGCCTATGAGACCAAGCAGAAAGACAAAAAGGGGAGCTTAATGAGTCTGAGGCCACAAAATAAACAGGGAAGGGGTAAAAAAAAGAAAAAGAAAAGTAGTATAAGAGTGACTTCACATAGAGTATCTTCACATAGATATTATTTGTTTACTACCACATGGAAATTCCCTGTTCATTACATGGTGGTGCTTTCACTGGGGATGCCACAGCCATGCTATCGGAGTGTGAATGCTTTCCACAGCTGCTGTTACCCTTCATCAGCTTTCTCCACAGGCATAGAACAGAGTGGAGCCACCCTTTCAAAAAATAATAGTCGAAATTAATTACTCTGTCGAGAAAACAACCTTTGGGTTGTTTCATTTACTAGCCCCCTCTTCTAATGTGTTTGTCACATGTTGCCCAGAAGCTGCCCATGATGAGGAAATTACATTAACGCACAGCTGAGGATGAGGCAGAGAAAGTGAGCACCGTGTCTGTCCTCGCTAGGACTGTGCTGAAGTTCACGACTTGCCTTTCTATGGGGCAAGGGGACCTGCCTTGGCTGCAGGAGCCCACCCTGCCACGGGAGCCCACCCTGTGAAGGGAGCCCATCTGGCTGCGCCAGGCAGGCTGCTGAGTTTCCCAGCCATGCAACCTGCTTGAAAGCACAGGGATGGAGTTGCAAATACGGAAGTGGGAGTTAGATAAAACAAGTTTTTTTTCTCGCCTATTTTGTATCATTTCAATGGATAGTGCTGACAGCTGAGAGTGCACAGCTATTTATTCCTTGCACTTTTGCTAATAGCAGCAACGCCAGACACCGTACTGCTTCAGTACCATTGAGCCTTGCTAGCACAGGCTGTATTGGCTTGTTGTCAATTTAGCTTAAATCCGTTCCCAGTTTCACTAGTAAAAAGTCCTTTTCTAGCCAATATTACTGAGCTTATATTGAACTGGCTTTTTTGCTAGCCTTACTTGTCAGTAAAGTATCGTACTTTTAAAAGTGATGTTAGCAAAACCGTAATACAGGCCTCACAGATGATTTGGGTCCATATGTTATTTATTTTAATCTCTTAAGGTTCCAAAACACTATATATTTACAGTCACTCTTTAAAGTTATTGTTAGTTACAAAATATTAGAAACATAGTTTCATCTATAAAATGCGTGATTAATTTAATCTTTACCATACTTTTTTGCATCATACAGGAAACATTTTAGCCTGATGAATACCATGGATGTATAATTAGTGCTTTATACAGTAAACTTGATTATAACTTACACTGTCCACCCTGGCTCCAAAAATCCTTGCAGATTTTAATTCAATTGCTGCACTTTATCTGGATGAAAGCATTTGAATTCAATTATTATTATTCTGCATGCATTTGTGCCTTTGTATAGGTTAGATGTGGTAGTAGTTTTAAAACAAGTTTAGTGGAAGTCTCAAATTAGGCATTAGAGTCTATATTTAGGCATCTATCAGATTTTAAATGCTGACCATCTGATTTTCCTAGCTGAGGTTTGCCAAAGTCAGGGTTTAATGGGTATTGAGACTGGAAGATAAAATTAAAGGGAAACAAATTTTGAGATGTTTCTGAATTTTGATGGGAATTAGGCACCTGCCCTGCCTGGACTATTGTGAATGCCCTGTTACCTGCTTATCTGTACCTGCCAATGCTCAAATGCCTTTAAAATCTTGGCAGGATGCTTTGGATACCCACATAACAGTAAACCCATTAAAAATCTCCTTGCTCATTTGATTTATTCTTTCCATGGCTGAGAAACTTTTAGACATTTTTGGCATCGAGACATCCCTTGAGGTAGCTCTGCCCCTTTTCATTTTAGCTGAAGAGAACTTCATGCTATAGCAAGTTTAAGACATTTTTAAAAACGGGACCCTCAAATTGGCCACGTGCTCCTGTATTTAGGCATCTCCTGGGTTTAAACGCTGGCCAAGGGGCCAGATCCGTGCAGGTTGGTGCCCTTGGCAAGGAGGAGGTGGAGGCAGTCGTGCAGCAGCCTGGGCGCTGGCTGCTGGAGGAAGCAGAGGCAGGCCATTCATTCTCCTATTACAGGCCATTCCTGTGTTTATACCATCTTGTTTAGCTTACTCCTAATGCACATCCTAAGACGTACCTCTAATACACATCCTAAGACATGTTTATGAAAATTCTTTATAAGCAAAATATTTTACTTCCATTGAGTAAGTTCAGATACAGAACAGCCTCAGCGCTGCGCCTGGTTCAACTGCACTCCTGCTCTCTCTCTCCCCGTGCATCTTTTCTTTGAAAATTCAGCCTTCAGCCCACCCACATTACCACAGCAAGACCCAATAATTGTAACATATGGATTCTCGGCCAATCTTGTTTTGTTCTCGCTAACATGTTTACAAGCAGTAATTATTCTTCAGAAGATTAAATACTGCTTAGGGCTGCAGAAGGTAAGTTGTTAGCTGGAGAACCAGCAACTGGATTTTGGATCCATTTTTGGTTTTAATTCTTTAAAGGCTTCTTCAGAGCAGATCCCATATCCTTTCATGAAGCATGTATTCCCTAGGTATGATCCTCAAATCAACAGCATCATTGAACTGGCTAAACATAAAGAATATGCCTTGGTCTGAAAAACATTGTGAACATTTACAAAACCCATTGACTCCATTTGTGGGTGCTCAGCACTTCTGAAAATCAGGCAAGAAGCTTTTAAAGATGAAACAATAGCCCGACTCCAGCAGGAAGGAAAATAATTTAAAATTTCAAGAGAGACACATAAAAAGGGGACATGACATTCAAGAGATATTTTATTATGTTAGACAGCAAATTCATAGGAAATGCTTTTTTCTGTGAAGTGATTTATAGTACTGTGGGACTCATGGCCACAGAGACAAGGATTTTAAAAGTTTCATGCGCAGACTGGATGACAGAACTATCTTTGTTTAACTGTAATTGCTAATAGCATTTCTGCAAGGGTTGTTTAACCTCAGGCTTCACAGCCTAATCTATACTCTGATTTTCAGGTCAAGATGAAACCTAATGTGGTGGCTGATTATCTTGCATCAACTTAATGCAAGGTCTTTTACACTGTCTGCTCTGAGCATCCACTGCTGTCCAGTATCAAGAGTGGTTATTGAACTAGATAGGGACCTCCCCCCTTTTAGTCCCACACAGCAATTTCTGCTGGTCTCAAATCAAGTGTTGGTGTTCGGACACAGCAGGGAAGGTACTGTGCAAACACCCTGCAGAAGGATTCTGTCTGTAGGAGACAAGAGATGATGAGCACAGCAATATCGGGCTACTTAGATAAAAGTTTTCTGCCCTGCATGCTGTGATTTGTCCTTAAAGTCTCACTCTACACAGACCCGATGCCACATGCCCAAATCTCACATTCATCATCTCACGTTCAGGTGGGTGCCGCTTCCCACACTGCTGAACTCAGCTTTTCCTGCATTATTTATGGTTATTCTGTTTGGGGGAAGAAGAAAAAAAAAAAAAAGTACAAATATTTTACATCCTTTTTAAGCTCATAAATATTATAAATCAAAGGCAATTTGGCAAATCTGCTTTATAGCTAGGGACCTTGTATCTGCCCACTTAGTTAAACTCCGTCTTGCTGAGGCATCTTTCTATGTCCGATGAGTCTGTCACTTTGAGCCAATCGATCATGGTGACGTGCTGTTCTTCCCCCATGTCAGGGCACTTGTTTCTTTTTATTTACCCATTACTTCACTTCCTGCCATCTGGCTCCCCAGAGCTTTCTTCTCCTTATTTTTAATACCTGTTCCAAATTGTATTGCCACCATCTATTTGTCCACTGTGATCATCAGACTAAAAGCAGAAAGAGGCTGAAGCTCCTATTGCCATCAGCCCGAAATCTGATTTCCTGGGCCTTTTTTATTCACATATCATTGATAGTATCTGGAAAACCAAATATGCACTGGATTTGAATGAATACATCTCACATAATGGTGAGATAAACATAGCATTCTGTTTCACAGGTATTTGAAGAAAAAAATGTGCAGGTATTAGCTTCAATTTCCCAAAAAACTCCACAATAAACCCTCTGAGATTTATAAAAATATATGAAATGTTCTATTTACTTGCTGGGGGTTGTGACCTTAGGGTGACCCCACAGAGACCCCACATTTTCAAGATTTTCTTTGTTATCATGTGTTTTAAGATTACTTTACAGATCCACAGAATAAAGGCTTCTCATACAACCATTTGTTTCTCTAGGAACTCCAGTTCTAAATGAAACATCAAATATCGTGGGAGTTAGTAACCTGAAACCGAACAGCTCCTATCAAGAAACTGCTTGATACAACATTGAGTGCTCTGAATAGCAGTCATTCATTTTCAGAAGTGCCATCAGCTGAAGTGCCATGTAAAAGTCGAGTCCCAAAATTACAGAAATGTTCAGAAATATACCCTCAAGTATATTCAAACTTTTTCCCTCTTTTCTTGTGAATGCATGGATGGAGTTTCCACAACTTTTTATAGATAACATAGAATTCCACATAAGACTTGATTTAATAAAATCAGTGTTTCTTGAATGAATGTTGAAAGTAGGGAGCAAGGTGGGAGAGCAGCTGACGGCTGTTGGTGCTGGGGCCAGAGCTCAGCTGTTATGCATCATGCCACTTATGTTGGAGCCTATTTATACCCACACTCAGGCCCTAGAAGGTCCCTTACTAGGGACTATGCTGAAGGGTGGGTGAAGGTGCTTTTCTCTGGCTGCAGATGTGTCCTAAAAGGTCTGGAGATCACCTTCCTTAGGGATTTGTGAAGACTACACAGGTGATTTTATGGGTGTTTTTTTTGTTTTCCCCTCTTGTATTAGTAATGTGCTTTTGCTAGGTGAACTAGCAAGAAACAAAGTACGCTTCTGGTTTTCAGTGGTGCAAATTCAGCCCAGAGCTGTGCAGAGACTGGGGGGGAGGCTATAACACCCCTGGGAAAAGCAAACCTGGGGGCTGCACTATGGCATGTATGTGGGCTTCAGATGCTGTTGATTCTTTCTTTGTTTCACTAATTTTCAAATTCCTTGTGAGTTTTTACATAACACCTTATTTTGATGTCACTGCAGATAAATCTCTGTATATATCTAAATATTCAAAAAGCTGTTTAACCCCAGGAACACCCCCAATACCTCACTGGGAAAAGATAGAGCAGGCTATTAAAAAAAAAAACAACGGGGGGGGGGGGGGGGGGGGGGAGGGGGTAGTGCCCATACTATACAATTCCATGACTTGAGGTAAATCCACCCTAGCCCAGGAAACTGTATCCTGGGTTACTCATTCAGAGTATTTCTTCCTGAGAGGCTGGTTGTTTGTGTATGGCTGCCCCAGGCTATTGCAGCAAAATTCCTTGTGCTGAAGCAACTCCATTCATACAGGCAGGGCCTGAAATAATGTGCACCAAGGCTAACACACAGCTGATCCTGCTCGGGGGAGCTGCAGATTTGCATCCCAACTGATCTGACTGCAGTCAGACACAGCCTTATCAATGGAATTGAAAATAGAGAGACATTCTCAGCACTTATATACACCCTGGGCATCCAACAGACCTCTCTCCTTTCTCAGAGGGTTACAGAATGCATTAATTGAGCTTCAGAATGGCTTATAATTGCTGACTAATTTCCCTTTCCTAGAGGTGAAATTACATTAGTAGCAATAAAATAAAATCCTGCACGGCTTACTCAGAAGTACTGCTGGATACGAGACCCAATCCTGTCCTGACTGCAGCCATGCTGGTGAGAACCTGCTAAAAGTGAGAGAATCTGATGGGAGTTTTTCTGGCTGGATCCTTTCTGTGCTGGTTGATGCTTCCTGCCTTGCTACACCAGATCTGTCCCAGAGATGTGGCAGGATGCTGCAGCTCATACCTAGCCTGCTCCAGCCCCACATGCTTCTCCTCCTCAGCTGCTGGACCCATGAGATTTTTTTTGTTTGTTTTGGTGGTTGTGGTCTGAGGAAATAATCCAGCTGCGTTATGAACTCCTTACTGGCTATTTTTCAGCCAATGCAGCATAAAAAGAACAAAAGAGGTGGGAGCACCTAGCTGTGCTGCTGTTTAGGGCTGATACTAAATGTTACCAAGCTAAACTGGGAGGCTTTGGCTCAGTGAACAAGAAAACCCATCTAAAGTCTTGTTGCCACCCAAGGGAGAAGGCTTTAGTCTTCTCCCATCTTTACTCTGTAGCTTCACCCTGAGAGAAAACACCAGGTCTCCTGACTGCATCTTTGTCCTCTTCTGTGTTTATACAGTCCTGAGCGTACTGACTGCACAAAATAGCAGAGGAAATGCAGGTGATAGACTGCTCACTGCTTATTGTAGGTGGCTGTGCCATTTCTGAGACCTGATGTGCCACGCCACATGCAGTTCCCTTCTTTGCCTCATTTTGAGGGAAAGCCCTGCAAGTTGATGATGCCTGATCAAGTCTTTCAACCCTCGGGCAGTGACAACTTTATACTTTGACACAGCTGTAAGGATGATAAATATACGTGCATTTCTTAAGATTATTTCAGGTCTCTGAAAGTCCAAGTTTTCTAATCTTTTGCTTTTCCCAAAATAATACTACATAAAGGATTATCTCCATCTTAAAACCTACCAGGAAGTCTATTGCTTCAGACTCAAAATTGCAACTTGAGAAGGACTGTAAGGAAACAAGTCTGCAAATGTATTTAGTATATGAAAAATGATTTTCTTAAAAACATGCAAAATGTTCTTTCACCTAATTCTGTATTGATTCCTGTAGCATCATCTTTTTCTTTTTATTCTCTTAATGCATTTCTATTTCTCCCAAACACACACAAAAAACTGTTTCCTTTACAAAACAGAACAAAGAAGTTTTCCTTCCCAATCAGTAATTTTGTTTTCTTTTGTAATTGTAAAAAGAAACTCCTGAAAAATCAATATATCGTTGCCAAGTCATACACAATCAGGAATGGAGCAAGCTTAGTAAATAAAGGAAATTGCAATTTTTTCCCTCTCTTTGGTCAGTCTTTAGTACATTCAAGGTGACTGCCAATCTCTTCTGTGTTTCGGGTTTGTTCCTCCCTGCAAATTTAAAAGTTAATCTTGGAGATGAAAAGAAAAGTTTGAAAAGAATTGTTCTTGGAGTCAAAATTCCTGATGTCCTAAATTACAGCAACCCCCACCCCGAAGTGATTGGCTCCTTGAAGTAATCTGACCTCTCTCAATTAACTAGCACAGAGATAAAGATTGTTCATGCTAAAGTTGTCACATAACACCAGGCTTAGAAATTGGAAAATCTCAAGTAAAAGAAAGATACCTTTTCAGCTGTATCTGTAGTTTCAGCATATATCAATATTTGGATTTGGTTTACTCTTTTGATGTGCAAAATTGAGGGAATTTATGTAGTGACACCTAACAAAAAGGACTTTTCAGTGAATAACCATATTAATTAAAATGTAAAAGGAAGCACTTACTAGCTGAACATTTGAGAGCTGGGGTCTATGTTGCTTTTTCTAGGCACAATTGTCACCTGCAAAATATATGCAGAGTTTTGGAGCTCAGATGTGAACTGCTTACAAACCCAAGCGGGGGAGAAAAAGATGTTTTAACGAGTTGATTTGCACCTGCAATTAAACAGACACACAGGCTAGTCTAATTTACACTGAAACTTAATTGCAAGCATAAATCTTGTGTATACATGTGACATAAATAAAACCTCTCCTAGCTATTCATGATCTGTTACAAAAGAGCCAAGAGTACCATAGCTCTTTTTTTCATGGTTATAGGTCTCATTTTTGGATATGGAATTGCTTTAATGCATTTGTCATCTTCCCTGAAAATACCTAATTGTGGAGTGTCAAAAAATAAGTAAATCAGCATCCAATTTGTCTTGGAGTACCTCTAAACACAGTTGCCGCTAACAGTTAATCAGCAAAAGTATGGGGAAATACAGGCGTGTGTGCTATAATTTATTAAATGTAATTCCAGCTTCTTTGAGCATCCTGCAAAGGTGCTCTGCTGCTTTTGCATATTTGTGGAGGGAGCCAGGATTGAGTGTTACAGGGAATGGCTGAAGGGATTATAGATTTGCTGAGGCTACTTTTATCTTCTAAACAATATTTCATGTGTGGAAAGGCACTTTGAAACTCCTAGGGTGAGCAGCATATGACACTGGGTCATCAGTCTTTACATGTGTGGCAACTTTTTGATGAAACCTAAAGGAGAAAGTATAAAAGGAAGCATCCAAAAACCAACAAGAAAGCAACCCATGCTGGGTGTTTTCACCCAAGAATACCTCTTGCATAACAATTTATTTCTGTATAAGCTTGAATATTTCGAGGCTTTTGAGGAGCCTAGATAAGGAGATTGAGGCTAAGATGTAGAAGGCTCGAGAGACCTTAAGTCTGGACAACAATGGAGCACCATAGCCACCCTCTGAATAATGTTAATATCTTTATGGAGACTTGTATAGAAATAGGACTAGATACTTTGAGGGTCGAATTTTAATTTCAGTTTTGAGAAATGGCCAGTCAGTGAAGAGGCTGCAGATTTGTTTTGTTTCTCTTGCAAAATAAATTCTCTGCGTTTTTCCTATTTGAATTGTGAGCCTGCTGTTATTCTGATAAGCCTGTTTATGGTGTGACCTACTTAACCAGAGCTCTGGTGGCTCAAGGCTCACAGTAGCGCAAAGACTAAAGGCCCCAAACAGGAAAAGATATCATATGAAAAAAAAAGTTTTCAAGCCTTTGTCCTTTACATGCTGCAAGGTGTCAAGCACTGAACCAGTGCAGAAACCATTGTTCAACCAACTGCTCTTTTCAAATGGAAATGTCTGCAAAAGCCATGTCAGCAAAAGGAATTCGTTGCTTAAACTGTGCCTCCTAGCTTATATCCTACAATAAAACCTGTGGCGTATTAGTCCATACTTAGGACTTGTTACTAGGTTTTAAAGCTCCTTTCAGGCACAGTTTTAGCCTAATCTGGCTGGATCACTAGCACGGGCAAGATTACGAAACTGCAAGGTTATGTTGCCTTTGACTTGCGAATGTATGTCAAAAGTCTGGTTTATAGTTTCCACCAACACAATTGTCTTTTAAATAATATCTTACTGCTGAAGGCTCTGCAATGGTACAGGACTAGCTACATCTACACAGGAAACAGGATCAAGGTTTTCCATAAGTCTGTTGATTTTTCAGCTTCCATGCTCTGAAGATATATTTCCTTTGAAGTGTCTCAAATAGGGTAGTATCCAATTATATTTGTAATCCCAATCTAATTCAATCAGGGACTCCAATTATAGCTGATCTGTCTTTTAATCTAGTTAAAGTCTGTAGAGTAGACTGCACCTTAGCTAGCATAACAAAATTAAAATTCAAGCTGTTGAACACTTGTAATCAGGGATAACCAAGTTACAGCTGGAACTAGCTGAAAAGTGGGAGGCTTGCAAGGAAGAAGGGCTATTATAATTTAATGTCCAAACATTGCATCAATTTAACTTGAAGCTTGGCTGAGAGCTAGCTGCTAATTACGAAGGACTGTGAGAAGCACTTTTGGATGGAGACAGATACAACAAATATTTTAGCTTTGCCTAGTTTTCTTCCTCCACAAAGCTGCATCCTAGCTCCCCAACAGAGGGCCAAGGAGGTAATGCAGCACCACTTTCACAAGTGCATCACCTTGCAACTCTCTGGAGCAAGTGGCTTAACAGTTGCTTGGTATCTTACCTGCTTACTGTGAGGCCACAGCATGCCTGGAACAATTGGGCAGACACCCAGGTCTCAAATAAATCCACCCTCCTCTGCACACCTCCATTGAAAAGCCTGACCCAAAAATCCTCTGTGCAGTACAACCTGAGGGACAGCAGCTGACCTGACGTACATGGACACACATGGTGATGGTGCAGCATTTACACTAGGAGAGGGAAAAGTCAGCACTAAGGGGCTTGTAGATACAGGAAGAGACACTGTACAAGAGCTGAAAGGGGAGCTTCACACAGGGACACAGCTCTGCTGGCTGGTCCTGCTATATTGGTATAACTTCAGAAAATACATCCCTAGTTAATTAACCAGTGTTGAAAACAGCAGGTCCTAAACCAGTCTGATCAGCCAGTGTGAACGGGGTTACAATGAAACAACCGAGCTTCCTAGGCAGAAAAATATTAGAGTTTGTTTATTTGTAATTTATACTAGAATTGGCTGGCTGAAGTGACCTTGGCCAGCAAAACAGCAAAGATATCCTATTGTGTTTAATCATACTTGGGGACAGCTATTAAACTTAATTAGTTCTGTCCCAAATCTCAGTTGCTCACTTTCAGTGTACTTATCTACCAATTCCAGTTCCCTTCTTTCATTTCTAAGGGTTGTACTTAAACTGCCTTGATGATGAATAAAGTCTGTTTCAGCCATTTTGGGAGATGATGCATGAACCATGTATGACCTAACAATAAAAAGTAATTTCCTTTGTTTGAAGAGAGAACTGAGTAGCTATACTGGTGGTGGTGGTTGTTGTTTTGTGTGTGTTTTTTTTTTTTTTTTCTTAAAGTAGTGTTTGACAGAAGAAATGCTTTGCAGAAAGTGGCAGTTTATAATACTTTGGCCTGAGTTTTCTGATCTGACTTAAGAAAATACATATGCTGTAATTCTAAAATACAATAACGTAGACACATGGCTACAGAGCATCTAAACAGAATATTCACTCTGGACTTTAAATCTTGGTGATCTATTTTCTTGTGTAAGGAAATTCCAATGCAATTTTTATTTGTCCTATCTAAGCAGAGATACTGAATAATATCAAATGTTGAGTCTTATCTTCAGTGGGCTCATGGTTCACTGCTGTGCACTTCAACATCTGCATAATAGCCAGATCAAAACCAAAGAGTTGCTTGAAAGAGTGTTACTTGCAGCAGGCAGAACTCACTGCCATCTTCAAGACTTGCCCAAGAATCAATCTATAAGAAAGTTGGAATGAGGCAAAAGGGTGACATTCTTCCAAAGTTTACGTTCAGCACACAATCCATAAATTGTGAAAACAGTAAATTATTCAGATGTTCAAGAGTGATCACACTGTTATATCCCCTCCATTTTCCACCTTATAGTGTAAGAAGTAGAGTCCTAATCGTGTTAGATATTTAATTCATCATTCTATGTATAAGCTAACACTTCACAAGAGGTGCAATTCATAGATTTCTGTCCCATTTTCTTTTAGGCTGTCATTCAGATAGCTTGGTGTTGACTTCATTCTATTCATTGTTTTAAGTGTTAATGTTTAGCTGTTTTGTTTTTTTTTCTTCCCCTTGTCTTCCAACTATGACAACCAAAACCAGGGTGCTTGGTTTTTTTTGTCGCTTATTTTTTTTTTTTTTTTTTTTTTAATAAAAGCTGAGCTATCAAAGACCAGATAGCACCTTCCAAACCTGCTAATGCTCTGAATCTCCATTAACAATTGGTTGTCAGCCCTTCATTAGGAATGGCATGAACCAAAGTCACCCACATGGAAACCAGCCAAATTCAGGACTAGGATATAACTGATGAAAGTAATGGAAAAA